CTAAATTCTTGTTAAACCGCTATTAAACATACAAGGTCATAATGTCTTGCTATAAACCTGACTACAAAAATTAGTAAAAAAAAGTAGTCAGGTATAAATGACTCATGAAAATTCAAGTGTCACATTTATTATCTAATTAAAAACCTTACTAAGTAAAAAAAAAAAAAAGCTAAGACAAAAATAGTACTACACCGGCAAGAGCCTTCAAGCACTATCTCAAAGTCGGACTAGACAGGCCAATTTGATCGACTGGACTGCAAACCGGTCAATTGATCGGTTCCATTCGCTGGAAAGCCAACTGCCAACAAATCGGTTAAAAACTGATCAATGATCGATTGGACCAATCAAAACCAGTCAAAATCGATCAGTCGGACTTGTAAAAGAGGCCTAACTCTTTTTAGGAAAATAAATTTTATTATATTTCAAAGTTTTTTCATTTAAATAAAAACATAACTAAATTTAATGGATACGTATGAATTGATTATTAATTAATCCAAACATTTAAATGTTATAATTTTTTAAACTATTTGTAAGTGCTGAAGATGAGCAGTAAATTGATGAACCTTCTGATATTCGCAGAGTGCAGAAATTTACGAAAGTATTTAAGGTAAGTCTTAATTTTAATTAAGTCCAAAGGACTGATTATTTATGTTATTATTTTGCCAGGACTTTGGGATTGAGAGAGAGATACACTTTCCATAATCTAAAGAGAATGAGGATCGCGAGATTCACCTTCCATAATCGAAGAAGAAAAAGTTCAAGAAATTTTCATTCCTTATCTGCGTTTGTCTTGGATGAGAAGACTTTCCAAAGGGTGCTGAAGATAAAAGGAGGACGAGACCAGAGTTGAGGACGACTTTTTTATCAGAATTTTTTTGAGTTAGATTTTTTTTCTTTCCTTGAGTGAAAAAGAGTGATATTCAGAACTCTTTGTAAAAAAATGTTCGGAGGTTCGTTCTTATAGTTTCGAGGGATTCAAACTAGAAAATCCACAAGGGAGTTGTGGTCGGATAAGTAGTTGTGTGAATCATTATTCAAGTAGAGTGTAGAGGGAGTCTATACTGTAAACCCTTGGATGATGTATGAGTTGTTCACATTAATGAAAGAGATCTGAAGGGAGAGTAGGACGCTCTCCTGAAGGTTCAATTTTTAGTGAAAAACTGCTTTCGCAATTATTTGAATCTTCATTACTATCTGTCTATTTGCTTTACGTGCAACTCTGGATACTTGGGGTTCAAGTATCAAATTTCAATTGGCACCAGAGCGGGTTTTCGTCTTCATTACGAAAGATCCTAGGACGTGTTTTACCCTCAAATCATGAATCTAAAAAGCGGATCGATGTCCAGGCCCCCGCAATTGGACGGTTCGAACTACTCATATTGGAAGTCTATGATGACAATATTTCTGAGATCGCTTGGAAAAGGCGTGTGGGAAAGTGTTGAAACGGCTGGGAGCATCCAGTCATGCAACAAGCACCCGATCAAGGTAAAGAAACAACGAAAGTCACGGTTTCTAAACCTAAGGACAACTGAACTGATGCTGAGAAGCTTCAAGAAGAAGACAACTATCGTGCCTTATATGCGATTATGATGGCAGTTGATCAAACAAGACACAAGATGATAGTTCATTGCAAAACTGCAAAAGATGCTTGGAGGGTCTTACAGCGTCAATTTGAAGGTTCAACAGCTGTCAAAGCGTCCAGACGTCAACGAGTAACTCTTGAATTTGATGAGATCAAAATGAGGGATGAAGAGACAATTGACGTATACTATGCTAGATTCTGTAATCTGGTAAATCAAAGCATGATGCTTGGAGAAGAAATCTCTGAGAAATGTTAAGTTCAAAAGATTATGAGAATCGCTGTTCCCTGGTTTAGAGAGAAAATCACAGCTCTTGAGAGTTTCCAAAGAGTGGCGTTGTTGGATGTTGATGAACTTCTTGGAGAGCTCAGAACTTTTGAAATCCACAACAATAATGACAAAGTCAAAAGTAAGGGCTTAGCTCTCAAAGCTGTTGTAGTCGAGGAAAGAGAAGAAAGCGATGACGATGAAGGTCCGTTGGCAGATGATAGTGAGCTGAAAGAAGCACCAGCTTTAATCGCGTGAAACTATGGAAGATGAGTCAAAGGATGTACAAGAACAAATTTGCTGGAAAAAAGGGGGAACAGTTTCAGCAAGAATGTGGTGCAGGACAAGAAAATTAGTATGTCACTCTCAAAATCCGACTCACAATGAGTCGAGAAGGATCAATGCAGGGAGTGTCGAGGCTTTGGACACTTCCAGTATGAGTGTGCTAATCTTAAGAAGAAGAATAAGTCACTGAAGGCAACCTAGGAAGATTCAGATGAAGAAGGCACATACGAACCTTCGTTACATACAAGCAACCTGGCAGTTCATACCTCAGTCAAGAAGTTCATGTGTCTCACCACTTCTCATGCTCCGACCAAGTTTGAAGAAAGTTTGAAAGAAACTGAAGCATCTGAGGATGAAGCAGATCAAAATGTGTATGTAGATCCAGTTCACTTACTTGCTATGGAAAAGTGTGCTCAAGCATCTGAAGCTCTACAAAAGCTTCAAAATGAAGTGTTTAGACTTTCAAGAGCAAACAGGGTGCTGAACGAACAAGCATCCGCCTCCACTGCTACTAAAGAGTGTGAACTGGATACTGCAAAGGCACGAACTTCCATCCTTGAGAGCAGTGTCAAACTTGCTAAACAAGACGGACTGGAAAAGGCTCAGACCATTGAATGCTTGAGGACCGAACTATTCTCTACTCAGAAACTTTTTGCCGAGCGGAACCAGGAAATCGTACTATTGAAAAATGAAGCTGATCGGCTGATGAACGAACATGCCAGCATGGAAAGCAAACTGAAGGCAAATTCTGCTGAGTTGAACCAAACTGCAGAAGTTGTTCGAAAACTGAACAAGGGAAAAGCAGATCTGAATGAACTTCTTTCCTTGGGAAGACAACATGGTGATCTTACTGGAATAGGGTACACTGGTAGGGAATACATTACTGAGTACTCAACTGGAACTTCAAATACAAAACATACCGGTCTTGGATTTGGGGACAAACTTGGAGTTGGAGGCGTGAACCTCCATGGGAGACCTTCCAGAAACGTGTTTGAAAGGTTTGTAAAAAGCACTGTAAGTAAACCTCTTTCTCCACAATCTCCCTTGAAGGTTCATTCTCCCATGCAGAAATCTGTCAATAAAAACTCACCATAACTTTGTTCCTATCTGTCATTACTGTGGTGTAACTGGTCACATAAGACCCAAATGCTATAAAATGCAGCATGATCTTTGTACAGGTAATGTTAGGGGTTAGAATCAGTCTGGCATTCCAGTGAAGGTCCCTCTCTAATAACTGTACCAAAACTTATCAAGTGTGGGTTGCTAAGAAATTCATCAACTGATTTGCCTTTGTTCTGTCCCTCAGGACTTCCCTGAAAGGTAAATGGTATCTGAACAGCGGC